CAGCCAGCTCTTCGCGAGTCTTCTCCAAGTTCTGTTCCATTTCCTGCATCCGGAGCTCCCACGTAGATTCGTTCTCAGAATTCATGTCTGCCTCTTCTTCTGAATTTTTTAAAGATCCACCTTTTTTGAACATTGGCGCATTTTGTTATCAGTGCAAGCTTGAATCAACTACGAACGAATAGGTTTCATTCGAACTGACTGTGCAATTGAAATAGACAGCTTCAGAAAAGCTAGATGGAAATGTGAGAAAGACAGCTCTCCATTTTGTGAGATTTCCTAAAGTTTTACCTGCCAACTGTTTTCTGAGCATTTCTATCTCGTGTTGGTACTTTCGGAGCTGCGCATCTTTTGGATCCTCGTTGATTCTAGCAACATTTTGAATATTCTTGGCACGGTTAGCATACCGTAAGGTAGACAAAGTTTCGTCATAGTTATATGATGCAGGACCAATATTAGCAATCTGCAAGAAGTAATTTTTTTTTTACCGTAGTTATCGAATTAACATTAGTAATCTAACAACTCGCCATAACAGTCTTCGAATTCCCACCAAGTGAGTCTTGCAGAAGACGAGTAAGTTTAGAGTTCCTAAAATAGATAATAGCGGATAAGTAGATAAAGAATACGCTGAATTCCCTAGAAAAGAAATAACGAAAGTTAGTCAAAGTTTGAAGCAAACCTGTACGGAATATGGGTAGATTTGACATCCACAAGTGCACTGATAACGTTACCAAGAGTGGATAGGGAAAGATTGATTTTAGCTGCCTCCTGAGAATGTTGGAAAATGAAAGAATGAATTTGGAGCTCAAGATTTGCGGATGGACTACGAATTAAGCAACCAAAAAATGCAAAAAGACCTTAAGTCGTTCGCCTGCAGCTCCAGTTTTACTTTGCCGCTCGCTGCCGGCCAAATCGACTAAGTGGAGTTTACCCTGAGTAACCATGCCATGTTCACTTGATTCAACCGTCACCGAGAACATTGCATGAGAGCGACTGCTCTCCTCGTTCATTTTCGTTGCACCAACTTTTCCTAAAACCAACAAAACCTATAATAAAGGGTTCAGGGTGTCTGTATGTGTAAATGTGTATATTTTCTGTCTGCCTGTCACGAAACGCAATGCTTTGTGAGGCAAAGAGAAGTTTAATTTATAAGAGATTGCCTCTGCACAACATAAATGTTAACGTCATTCGGTGTAGAGCATGCTAGTTATGCATTATAAGTTGTTGTATTTGATTTTTTAAGCTTTTCTTTACATATCCATTTATTT